AATCATAGAGTGTTTACTTAACTTTCCACTCGTCTAAGTTGATAGCTTAAATAGAAAAACAACAAAAACTTAATAATACAGTTGTAAACATGATTCTTGTTTTTATTATCATTTTGTTGTTGTTGTTGTTAAACTAGACGTTTTTATTCTTCTTCGACTAAATTACAATCGATTTTACTGTTGCCAGCTGCTGACAAATCTAGTGTTCACATTCATTTTTAATCTAAATTTCTCAGTATCTGGCCACTTGTTTCCCAGAAATGTTCCACTTGACTTCGTTAAAACGTCCCCAGTGGTTCTGTTATAATTCCGCAGGCTTACAACGCTAAAAATCGGGTTTCAATACCCATGGTAAGCAGAGCACATATAAACCCCCCCCTTGGGTAGCTTTGTGCTTAATAACAAACCGAACTGTGTTAATTTTTGTTGTTGTTGTTTTCCTCAGGATTTTTCGTTTTCTAATTTTTTCCAGTTCTTGTCTTTCAAGGTGAATGTCTCAAAGTGTGACTTTACACAACAAGATTAGTAACGAGAGTATTTTTACATCCTCGAAAAAAGGGTTCAATATTTAAATTATAGAATAATTTTTTATTTGTTTTGTTTTTTTTCACTTTTTTTTTACACTCCAGTGACACATCTATAAGTCTGAAGGCTTATAACGCTAACACTCTGGTTTCGATACCTGTGGTGGGCACAGTACAGATAGCCCATTGTGTAATTTATGCTTAATTACAAACAAATAGTTTTATTCTTTTACTTATTAAAGCTATCAAATAATCACTGCCACATTTTCAGCACATGAAACTCTTAAATCTGAAAAACAATAGTGAAACTGATAACACAATTTAAATTTTACATACTACTTAAAATTGCTTACAAGCACTTTTTTAGCATGTTTATTATTTACCAAGAGTGTTAATATATGTCGATAAAATTTATATAACAAATCATATCTTGGTACGTTTATTTTATTTTTTAGATATGTTTTTAAAATATTTATATGTCAAAACAACATATTCTTAACATACAAAAAAAGATTACATAAAATTCAGTGTTCAGTGGGATCAATTTGTTAGCTTGTTTGGTTGAAAAGGTCTACTTCTTTCGCTCTTATATGACCTTGAAATTAAACGATTTTATTTGGTTCTTGTGGTTACAAGCTTTTGTAGCAGAATTCCTGGAAAAACCAGAAAGATAAATTTGACGGAAATGATCTGTTTAAATTGCGTGACTGAAAAGAGGTTACGTTTTCAATATGATCCAGCCAGCCATAGATGAGAGACACGCACTTCTTTTTTGTTGTTTAACTCGCGCCATCTAGTGGCTACTGCTTTAATATAAATTTAGTATCCTATTCGTGTGAAGTTCAGTAAGACTTTTTTCCAGAACTGATCAAGCTGATATATAATTTTTGTAGCTCTTGTTTGTACACCTTTAACGTTCTTAATTAATTTATATAGATATATATCTGACAAAGATAGGGGTTGCTTTTGCCATTAAGGTTTCAACATTTGAGGTACATCTCTGATTCCGGTACGTATCATGAGACAAAGGTCATGAACTGTGGCCACTAAAAGAGATGTTACCTTTACCTTTAGGTTTATTTGTTGTTAAGCACAAAGCTACACAATGAGTTGTCTGTGCTCTACCCACCGCGGGTATCAAACCCAGTTTTTAGCGTTATAAAGCCTCAAATTTACTGCTGAGCCACCGGGAGACTACCAATAAGGCTTCAACATACTAGGTACACGTACGAGTCACGCACATATCATAAGACAAAGATCATGAACTATGAACCTTTGGCAGAGGAGGGAAGAAAAAAGGTTAAGAGCATTTGATTTTGTAATATATCTGAAGTTAGCGTCCTCTGTCTTTGGTAGAGCATACTAAATGCTGCTTAAGTTCTATAAATTTGACTCTAAGCCATTTAGTGACAGTTGTTATGGAAACTAAGTGATTTCTTTGCTTTTACATAGTCGAAACACTTACATAAATAGCCCACACTATATAGGAAGAAGGACTAGTACTACTAACTTCTATGTACTCTTTTTTTTTTTATCTAACTATACAGAAGTCATCAACAAACAAAATGTAATTTACAGAGATGACTCTGGTACTGACTAAGTGCATTTTTGTCTTGAAATATATTTGTAAAATGTATTTTTGTTTGGCTAGTTATAAGATGTTAACTATTAGAGTTCTTTTGACGTGTATTCTTCTTCTTCTTCTTTAGATATTTTGACGTCCAGACGATTCCAGTTTACTGACCGATATCGTCGTCAACTTTGTACATATAAAGATAAATACGTTGTGGCACGAGAAAAGCTTGACATTTTTTTGATTAACTATGTTCTCGCTTGAAAGCTAATTTTGACCACCCTTTTCATCACTAGAGTCAAGAGTCACTTTGAATCACGAGGCATGTCAATTATGGATGTGTTTAACACCAGGGATTGTACTGTGCTCAAAAAACATTCAAACAGAGCTCAGACAAAGTTCGGGATACTAAAAAATTACGAAGATTTAAAAATTAATTTATAAAGAAGGAAAGTCTACCTTCCGAGAGCTCTCGGCTTATCGGGTCTCTCCATCCGAGAACGCTCGGCATATCTGGTTTTCGTTCCGAAAGTCGACATGGCCAGGTGGTTAGGGCGCTTGACTCGTAATATCAGGGTCGAATCCCCGCCCCACAAAACATGATCACCCTTTCAGCCGTGGGGGCGTTATAATGTGACGGTCAATCTCACTATTCGGTG